TGGAAAGATACCACTAAAATTGAATGATATAGATGGGATTTTTGATCCAACACATGATGCAATGGTCAGACAAAAAGTAAGTTGGGAAAATTATAGGCCAAAGCCTCTATTTGCACCATCCATTTATTTTTTTTTCGTAATCAACACCTTTCAAACTTTTTTCTCCCTATTCACACCTTTCACTTTTTAATACCCGTAAAAAACTCAACATTTTAACACACCGTCACGGTACCGTTACAAAATGTATTACGTGGCACTCAAAAATTGACGTGGCCATTATGTGCCGTTAGTAATCTAATGTGGATGCTTTTTTTGATGATGTGGTTTACTTAAATAAAAAATAAAAAAATTTTGCTCTGGGTTCGACGAGGAACCCGAGCTGGGTTCCTCCTGGTTCGGTGAGGAACTCGAGCTGGGTTCCTCCGGAGGAACCGGATCTGGGTTCCTTTGGTTGCAAAGTTGGGTTATTTTATCTTTCTTTGATTAGTTTTATTTCCTGTGTCGTGTTGGATTAGTTTTATTTTCTTGGATTTTGTTTCTGTTTGTTTTTGGTGAGGAGAACTTCCGATCAGCTCGAACCTAGATCGGGTTCCTCCGGAGGAACCCAGCTTGAACTCGATCTGGGTTCCTCACGACGAGGAACCCCCCTAAATTTTTTTTTTGTGGGGACGCAGGGACGGACAAGCGGGAAAAGTCCTGTGCAGTGGGCTCCACTGCACATGTGGTGTCCACGTGTACAAAAAAAAAAAGCCACATCATCAAAAAGCAGATCCACATCTGAACATAACGAATAAGAAAACGTCGCATGTGCCACGTCGTGTGTTTTTAACGGTGCCGTAACGGTTCGTTAAAATATTGAGTTTTTCACGGGTTTTGAAAAATGGAAGGTGTGAATAGGGAGAAAAAATTCTGAAATGTGTTGACTACGGAAAAAAAATAAATGGAGGGTGCAAATAGGGGCTTTGGCTAAAATTATATAGATTGGATGATACAATGAATTGAATGGAGGATTGTTGCATGCATGAATGGTTGCCACTTGCCTTTAAAAGTCATAGCCATTTTTTGTTAAATAGAAAAAAAAAACAAAAACCATATTTTGAACTGAGATCCATCCATTTAAAGGTTAAAGCAATCCAACGAAGAAGTTAAGTGCACTATTTAAAGCTAATCAATGGGAATGAAGAGAAATGTATGGAATTGGGTGAATTTTATTTTATTTTTATCTTAATTGTACGATGAGAGGTAATTATCTTTCATTATTTATCTTATTTCACTCGTATGCTATGCAACTCAAATGCATAATTTTTTATTTCAAGTGAAAAAAAGATGATTATTGAATTATTTAGGTCGTTAACATTTGATGAATTTTCTTATTCAAAAAAATTTATAAATATTAAAATTCAATTTTTATTTAAAGAGAGAGTGAAATATTGGAGCCCAACTAGTTTCCAATATATACTGGGCTCTTGATGTCCTTGTAGTACGTACGGCATTGTAATGTCGAAATGTATGGGCTTTTGGGCTGCCTTAACACCACAACAAATTAATATTTTTTTAAGAGTTTTTCTTACAGTGAAAATATATAATTTAATAGTGTATTAATTATATTTTTTTTATAATTTATTGATATATAGAAACTAAATATAGACTTTAAATTTATTAATTATTCCATTAAAATCATGTATGTGAAATCAATATTAAGTTAATTTATTATAAAAATTTATTAAAAAATATAATGAACATACTTTTCATATCTATCAAGATGCATAAAATATAATTTTTTTAAATAACAATTTTATCAACACGTGGCCTTTCTTCCTTGTGCTTGTGGCCTTTCTTCCTTGTGCTTGTAGCCTGCAAGACAGGAAGCTGATTTTTAGTTAGAATTGTTCTTCTCTCTGAAATGGAGGTGACCTTTTTCTTTGGGCATTGAAATTGATATATTAGGAAAAAGTTTGTTTAATTTGTGTTTTAAGGATATAAGTTTAAAATGTAATAAATATATTCTTTATAATTTATTTACTTAAAAAATTATAAAAATTAATATTTATATTAGTATCATTGACATATAAATAATTTTAATTAATTGATTAATTAATTTAAAATCAATACTTACTTTTTTATA